TTTTTGTAGCATATTCCTGATTTCATTTTTTAAAAAATTTAAATAAATTGTAACATGATGTAAAACTGCACCTTACTATAAACATCTAAATTACAGAGAATGCAAAGTAAAAAGCAAAACTCCTTTGTCATTGTTTCATCATCTCTCACTAAGCTCCAGAGAAATAAGCACATGTAATTTTTAGCTTGTTGGTTTTTAAAACACAAATAAAACTAGAATATTCCTATTACCCTGCAATTTATCCATTTTCATTGAAAAATATGTCTTGTAGATCTTTCTCTGTCAGCACTACAGAATATATAGACAATAGATACTGGGTTAGTGTTTGCAAAATAAATCAAAACTTAGACTTCAGTCACACGCTCCTTGCTCTCTCTTAATCTAAACATTTCTCTCTCTAAGATTATAGGCTATTGCATGTCTTCTCTCTTTTTTGATTCTTAACCAAGATCTCGTTCATGGCAGGTATGACATAGCAATAACTATGATTTTCATTAAGTATTAATAATGTGTGTGTGAGTGTGTGTGTGGTGTTATCTTACTAGATAATATTTCACATGTAAGCGCCAAACTGTCATTTATTCTCAGCTGTCTTGTGTACATTTCTAACATCTCGATTATTTCTGTCCATCGGCAGTTCTCAGACTTTAGTGCGCATCAGATTAACATGCAGATTCATGAAAACCAAGATGCAGGGTCCCATCCTCAGAGTTTCTCATTCCGTAGGGATAGGATGAAGCCTACACATTTTCATTTCTAACAAATGATGCTGATGCTGATGCTCCTGGTCTAGGAGTTACACTTTATACCGCCCATGGCCCCCCGATCCCTCCTCGGCACTCACTGTTCACTGCACACAAGGACTATAGCCCAACGAGAGCGATGGAAATGGCTGTGGTGGACAACCAGACCTGGGATGTGCATGCCCTTCCAGAATGGGGACAGCAGGGCCCCCAAAGGCGGAACGGAAGAGAATGACAGTTCTGCCAGTGGCTCAAACCACAGATTAAGGAACAATTTCACATGTGCAGATGGTGGAAAGAACTGTTGTTTGCCCATTAGGCCCTAGGGCAGCACATGCTCTAGTGACTGCAATCAATGGCAGTCGTGTCATCTTTGAATATGAACGATGGCATTACAATGCCACTACATTCAGACAGAAAACAAGTTTTTATCTATGTTCACTTTCTGATGGGAGCTCAGCCAAGTAAAATTCCAGGTGTTGAGTGAGCTGATGTATCCAAATATTTACATCCATTTTGTTGTTATTCTGGATTCAATACTGGTACAATTTGCCTTGTAAAGTCATTGTATCAATCTATTATAGAAGTATACAGAATTGGTGAGTCAGAAAGGATTTTTAAAAGTTATAGAGTTCCTCTTCACAAATGTAGTAAAATTACTATGTCTTTAATCATTCAATTTACAAAAACTGCTTCCTTATACATAAATTGGGCAGAGAAAATGCATCATTTGTAGACTTGATTATCCAAAATACAAATGTAATGTATGTACATAAAACTTATATAATGGAGTATTTATTCTTGAGAATAATGAGCTCTGGGAGATATAATCATACTTCTAAGAATTTGATCTGCTAGATAAATTGTGATTCTTGTAAAGTTTTACATATTTACATTTTGATCAAACATCTTAATGTTTATGCATACTCAGTGTGCTTAGAATCAGGAAAATGTGTGGAATTGATCAGTATATTTGATCCCTGTTGCTTCTTTGCTTGAAATATTTGTGTAAAGAAATCTTGCCGTTTCTGGAAATGGAGTCTAAAAAAAATCTGGGTATTTTTAACTATTCACTTACCTTTTACTAAGCATGCATGCATCCCTAAAAATATAGTGTTTTTATGTTTGCATAAACTTGACATAAATGGCATTATAATGTATGTATCATTCAATTCCCTTTTGCCTTTCAACAATTTAATTTATTTAAAAAAATATATCTTTATTGATTTCAGAGAGAGGAAGGGAGAGGGGGAGAGAGAGATAGAAATATCAATGATGAGAGAGTCATCATTGATCAGCTGCTTCCTGCACGCCCCCAACTAGGGATCAAGCCCGCAACCTGGGCATATGCCTGGGAATTGAACTACAGTCTCCTGGATCCTAGGTCGATGCTCAACTGCTGAGCCCTACCCTGCTGGGCAACAATTTATTTTTTACTGCCGTATAGTATTCCTTTTGATCTATAAATAAAGTTATCTATTTTCTTATGATGGACATTTAAGTCATTTTCAATTTTTTAATGCTATAATTCTTCAGTGTATTATTCTTGTAATGTATCTCCTTTAGCATAGAGTCTAGAAGTGAAACTGAGTAGTACACGAATATTCACTTTTACTAGATATTGACAAATTGCTCTCTGAATTACTTATGCCTAATTATATTGCCACTGGTATTGCATTAAAGTTCTTTCACATTTTTCCCAATAACTGATTGAGAGTTTTTAATTTTTTGAATGCAAGTTTTAAAATTTCATCCAGCGTAGATAGTGTAAAATTGTATTTCATTGTTTTTATACTTAATATACCTAATATTTCTAATTACCAGCACAGATAGAAGCTGTGTTTTTTTTTAAAAAGTAGTTACTGGGTTTTCCTTTTCTTTGAACTGTCCAATTATTCCCTATGTCAATTTTTATACTATGTTGTCTTTTTCTTACTGATTATATGTCTCTATATAATCTGAATACTAATCCTGTTCTTGGTTATATACTTTGATAATATTTTCTCCAGGTCTGTGGCTTGTGTTTTAATTTTACTTCATGGTAATGTTGTTGTAGAAGTTTTTATTTGTGGTGTAGTAAATATTATCAATCTTTTCCCTTAAGGTTTGTATGTCTTTTTCTTTGTCTTTTCTAAGAAAACATTCTTAGTTTAATATCCTCAGAAAGTTTTAAAATCTGCATTTTTCATTAGGTCTTTAATCTACGTAGAATTATTGTATGCTGTAGGAAGAGTGAATTTATTGTTTTATATGGATCATTAATAGTACCAGCTTCATTTATTGAATAATTTATCCTTTCATCACTAATTTATATGTTTGGGTCTGTTTGAGTTTTTTGTTAAGTTCCAATTTTCTGTAGACTTATTTGCAGTGGTAGAAAACATGCATTTCTGTTTTTCCATGAGTTCATTACATGGCCACCTTGGAATGCTCCCATGCCTTTAATAATTTCAGTTGGACAGACAATAGTCCATGGGCATAAATTTGGCCTCTGCTGTTAACCAATGTGGTGCTCATTAGTATAGCCAACCAAAAGTTTCCAGTTCTCTGACGTATAGAAAATAGTGGGATTGGGCTTTCTATCCCTCTGCATTTAAGCAAGACCGTAGGACTTACTTGTCAATGATTTCATTCCTGAATAGAAGCTTTAACTAGAAGCTCCAGGAACAAGCCTGTGATTTGCCACATTTTCCAGTCCTGCCTTGGCAATCATGGAAGTATGGAGGTGGAAATTCTCTGCTAGACACAGAGATGAACATAGAGCAGCGTGCCAGATGACCTTCAATGAACATGTAGCTGAGCATAAAGCAAATCTTAGCTGTTTTAAACCACTGAGGTTTTTGGAGTTGTTTATTACCCCAAAATACCCTGGCATATCTTCACTGATACAGTAAATGTGTAATTTGCAATTTGAGGGTTGGGGATTTGGTTAACAAACACCTTGCATTTGTTAGAAGGTGATATTTATATTTAATGGCTTTTTTTATTGTCAATTCCTCCTCCCTCCTCCTTCCAATTATGTCACTCATATTTCCCAGTACCCATGACCTGCTAAACCAATTGGAACCCGTTTTTGATGGCCTGTATTTCCTCTCCCAGTCTGCAGTTCCTCACCCAGCTTGTTTTTCTTTCCTCAAGTCAGCATTTCTTTTCTTGAAGAGTTTACATTGAAAAGATCAATGTTTTACCTAAAATCTTTACCTAAAATCTTTACTGACAAAGATAAACTTTATGACCCTATAGTAAGGGCTTATTAGTGAAAGGGAGCTTTCTCTGCTTCCCCTTATTATCACATTGTTATCTATTGACTTGATATATGTTTTAGACTGGCTCTGACATTTAAAATCATTTGTTGGGGCTGGTTAATCTCATTCTCAAACCTGTGTGTTCAGTATCTGACTCTTATGTTTCTGGAGCATTTATTTATTATCTGAAAGGTAAGAGAGTACAGATAAGAAGTAGGGGTGGCACTAAGAAGATACTTCCTTAGCAGAAGGAGCTTTTTTACATAATCCCTCCATGGATGAAAGTTTCCTTTATGTTAGTAAGCTCCCCCTAAACGTGCAAAATCATCTCATATTATGGTGGGGGTAGGGAAATAAAGGAATTAAAGTTCAGAGAACTACATTTTTAGTTGTTCACGCCTTAAAGTGAAATACATGAATCATTTGATTGAGATGTTTGCCTCCTAACATCCAGGAGGTGTTAGGTGAGGCCAAGGACAGTTGGATGGTGATGGTGAGTAAATTTAGAGCATGAAATGTGGTAGGTTTATGTGGTGGGTCCACCCAGAGGCTTTGGATTTGACAGAAGGACATAGACCTCTCAGGATGCAGGTGTGAGAAGGATGTGAGAGCCGACAGCAGCCAAATTCCTGGTCTATAATTCCTGGTCTATAATTTTTTAAAAGACATCCTGAAAAATCATCTTAAGTATCAGAGGCATTTATACCTATAGTGGCTTCACTAAAAGATATCATCCTTGGCTGGATTGCTCAGTTGTTGAGCGTCTTCTAGATATGCCAAGGTTGCAAGTTCAATCCCTGATGGTCAGGGCTCATACAGCAATCAACCAATGAATGCATAAATAAGTGGAACAACAAATCTCTCTCTCTCTCTCTCTCTCTGCCCCTCTCTCTAAAATCAATAAAAAAATATTAAACATTATTGATGTTAGAATACTTTCTTGTCACACTTCCTGCTCCTTAAAAAATGAATGTTGACTGGTTAATTGAAGTTTACGTTTCTCTCTTTTTAGGTGGTTCTTTGGAGCAATCAAGAGAGCAGATGCAGAAAAACAACTATTATATTCAGGAAATCAGACGGGTGCCTTTCTAATCAGAGAAAGTGAAAGCGAGAAAGGAGGTTTCGCCCTTTCAGGTATGGGCATTGTTTTGTGTAATTTAAGTATGGGTTTTATAGTCTGTAGTCATAAATCTACTGTGTAAACATGGACATGTTAATTTTAAATTTGCCTTATTTCTTATATTCACAACAGTACCAAAATTATATATCCTGAGCCACTCCAGAGTAATATAAAAATTAGCAAGACATTTCTGTATATGGCTAGAAGTCTCTGTAAACAGTTTCAAATACATGCACTCTAGATAGGAAATAAAACACACACACATAAGGATCTGGCCGTGTTTTTTCACTTGCATTATCAAAGATCCTATCCGTCTAGGGAAGTAATAAGCAAGAAGCAAAAACTACACTGCTGTCAAAATTGATCCTGCCATAATATATTTTCTTTGTTTGCATTTCATTTGTCTTTGCCTGGTAAAAAGAAAATGAATCGAAATGCTGGATGCAAATGCATTTAATTAACTCCATGACATGCAACATTTTGTCAAATGTAGTTTTCTAGCTGAGAGCCAAGTCCGTGTTTAATTTACACTGCTCGAGGGAAGAAGCTCAGAGGCCTGAGGACGATCTTTAGGAGTGACAGGTGCAGGCCCAGGTCTGCTTTCACAAGCCCCTGCCCCCGGTGTATGTTCCTTGCTGCAGGATGTCCTTTCTTAAAGATCACTCCGGGCCATGTCATGTGAGGCTTTCTTCTTGTCTTTCTCTGATTTCTGTATTGTCTAATCATTTGTGTTATTAGCCCCTTTAAAATAGCTACCTTGTTTCGCCAACTAGACCTACGCCTTTTGGGAGAGGAGGTTTTGCCTCCTTTGTCCCTGTCGCCCTGCAGCATGACACCCGGGCGCCTGGGGGGCTCGCGGGGCTGCAGCCGGGACAGCCCGCGGGGCACCGTGTGGAAGCGGCCCTGGGCCCGCGCCCGCAGCTCTGACCCGACCCAACCCGACCCAGGCCACGCTGTGTGTGTTTGCGACCCGTTTTCTTCTTCATACCGATGGTCCCAAGTATCAGGGCAGGTGGATCGGAGCTGAAGGGAATTAAGGGCCGTGGTGCTGACGCATGGTTTTCAGGTTCCCTCCTTCGTTTCTGCCGCTTCTGACACTGAGTCAATATGATCTTACAGAATGGTGTGACTTCAGCGCCGCCCCTGCCCACTTAGACAGCGCTGTTCTGATTACCATTCTTGAAATGTTACCAAGAATGATGTGCCACCGACCTTTCTAATTTTGTTTGTACCCAGGGTGATACAATTTTTAATGACCAATGTGTGATGGGCATTAGCCACTCAGAACTGATGCCCGACAGGGCTGGGCCTTCCCACCAGTCCACACCTGTATACACTCAGGTGACATAAGTGAATGTTTTATTATGTATAATAGCTTTTTTTCCTGACTACAAAAGTAATATAAACATTTTCTTAGAAACAGGAAAGTTCAAAGAAGAATAATTTGCAGTATAACCTTCTGAAGATACATTTTAATACTGAAATACCTTTCTGGCAAGCTTTTCTCTATGCTTAACTTCTAAGTATATTAATTTAAACAAACTCACACAAACCCAGAAAAACACACACAGATAACAAAATTGAGATCATCTTGTAAATAAAAATATATAAATATATATGTGTATGTGCATATATATGTATGTATATATATGCATGTGTATATATACACATGTATGTGTATCTATATGTGTTTGTGTGTATAATATGGACCTAGGCTTCTTTTTTCTTGTCTCTCAGTATCCTGTGAACATTTTTTTATTATTTTTAGAAGCCACATAACTTTTCATTGTATGGGTGTGCCATCATTTATTTAACCTATTTCATATTTTATGTATTTTAATTATTTCCATTTATTTTGCTTTTACATGATGCAATAAATGTTTGAAGCTTTAAAGATTTCCACAAGAATACTATATTCAGAAAAAGAAAACAGAGCATTTTGAAATGTCCTAGTCTAATGACAAGAAGAGCTGTGAGAGAGCTGGAGATATTAAATGCATCCACGTTTGTTTATTTGCCTTTGCCAATATTTACATATCAAGTTAGATAGTCATTATCTAGCCAAAAGCTAGATTAAATGTTTTAGATTAGAATTAAAATATAGAAGAGTCATATTTCCTGGAGGAAAACAAACTAAAAGTAGAATTAGCTGAGTCCTATCTTTGCATAATGCCCAAGCTACAGTTGACTATTCTGAAAACTCGAAGTGGAATATTATGGGGCAGAACAGCTTTGTAGGCTTAGAACAAAATTGCAAGGATATTGGCTGTTATGTGCTGAGAATACTCTAGCACTTGCTTATGGATTTACTAAGCTTCGTAGCCTTTACTTGGAGACCAGCGTGTCATTATAGATTCTTTTTCAATGAGGTCAAACAATTTAGAGTCTTTCAAACAAATTATCTGACTGCTGTGTATTCACTAGGGGGACGAAGTAAACGTGGACAATTATGTTCTACTCAAATTCTCTTTTTAGCCAGGAGGAGGGTTATGCAGGAGAAAAATGGAAAGGAAAAGGTCTTCTGTACATCTACATTCAACCGACAGACAACCCAACTGCTGACTGTTGAATACTACTAAGGATCTTCAGCTAGACCACTCAGGGATTCATTTCTTAGTGCAGTTGTCTCCTGAATCAGTCAGAATTGATGGGCTTCAGTTTTGCTGACTGCTGAGTTGCTAAGGAAAGGCAGATATCTCTTTTCTGTCTCTGCCTGTCTTTCCCACGTGAGTTTTCCTTAGAAGCATTGTCTTGATTCCTTGGGCGGCTACGGCTTGCGGCTGTCAGGAAAAAGCTTATGATTTACTGAGGCTGGGACGGGGCACTCCAGAAGCAGCAGCCCGAAGTTGGGGTGGGTGTTAATTGGCTTGTGTGGTCCTTGCATGGCTGTGGGCTCTTGTGAGGTCTGCGTAGATCTCAAAAGAGAGCTGGGGCCTTGACACCTCTCATAACGGCAAGACACTAATTAGCTGTGAGTTACAGCCGTGCTTTTGGATATTACATATTATATGTGGCAGCCGGAGAATCTGTCTTCATTAGATTCATGACAGGTAGTTTTAGTGGCCCTACTGTTATTTGTCATTGGTAGTGAATTGTTTTTCTGATGAAAAATATAAAATTCTGACTTCATGTAAAATGGTTTGGCTATTTCTTCACTTCAGTCAATTAGTTTAAAGGAAATTATTATTGTCATCATTAATATTAATTTGATGCTTGGCATCCTATAAGCATTTGTATTATTGTTTAAAGTACACTTTAAGGAAAATGAACTTGCAGGACTAAAATTGAGCTGCAGGTGAGGTTTTCTGAAGAGATTCCATATTGCACATTGTAAGTTTACTTTAGACAACTCTGCAGATTCATCTTCAGTGAAACCTGCTCAAAAGCAAATGCTAATAGATTGAATGTAGTTGAAAAAATGACTACATTGATGACATGAGGCAAAAAAGCTCATCAGCAGTATTCAGGGTGATGCATCTAGGAGTGGAGATCACTTATTAACATATCTGTTTGTTTCTTCAACAAACATTCGAGGGGCCTACTATGCGCCAGACCTTTGCCAGATGAAAGGCAGCAAAGACAGCAAGGCCCTGGCCTGAACTCAGTCTGCAGTAGGATTATAATACGGCTGAATTGCTGTGAGGCAAGAGGAGGCGTGTGTGTGTGTGTGTGTGTGTGTGTGTGTGTGTGTGTAGCGGGGATTGAGGAGGGAAGAAAAGGAATGGCAGAAAATGAAAGGAAAGGAAAGGAAAGCTGGAGCTAAACTGTTCGGGGTCTTGCAGATCATGCTGAGGAATTTGGCCCTTGTTCTGCAGAGGGAAGTCTTAGGCAGAAAGTGACCCAGTCTGACCTTTGATAGCATGATGAGAGGTTTCTAGGTAATAGTCTGAGGAGGAGTGAGAGAGGCGAACATAGTGGCATCACGTGCTGCTGTATGAAGCCACAGGTACAAGACAGCAGAGTTCGTCAGCATTCTGCAGAGAGGGGCCATGGGACCCAAGCTCTGCAGGCTGCACTAGAGCTCGGCTCCAGCACAGGATGTCCCCAGAAGCCACAGGGCCCTCTGTTGCTCTCCTTTATTTTATGGGCAAGTGTGGGAGTGGCCCTAGGACTAGGAATAAGAGCCTGTGCTCTGGTGCTAAGCAGTGTGAGTTTGGATATGAATTATTTACAGGATTGTTTGGAAATCCCAGCACTGATGGGATTTAGGCCTTGTGGGAAGTTGAGTTCAGGTGTAGCCCCTCTTGCTGGCATAAGGGGGTGATGGTGGGACAGTCCAGTGGGCTTAAAAAGAGCTCCCAGGGTTCTTTACTAGTCAGTCCTGCACATCTCCATAGACTATGGCCAGAACCAGGGAAGAGGTATGGCAAATAGAGAGTAGAAAATAGAGATGAGGAGTACTTAGAAGATATGAACTGACAGGAATTGGTGGCTGATCATAATTGGGGCAAAATAAGGGAGAATGTGGCATCTAGGCTGATCCCCAGATCCCTGACTTGAGTGACTGGGGGCGAGTGGTGACTCTAGCAGGACTAGATGTACAGGGAGAGAGGAGAGAGGAGCAAAGGAAATAAACTCAGAGGTGTTGAGGCAATTGCAGTGGACATACAAGTAGCCATTATTGTGTTTTTGACTTGTTTCTGCTGATTCTGAGCAGAGTATTTACTGTGAGAAATTTCCATTGCAGTGGACATGATGGTTCCATGGAGTGTGAAGGACTTTCATAATACTCTGTGATTGCTATGAAGTCCCTTCCTGAGAATATAAAATATGCTTCTGTAGTGACATAATTTAATTTTTAGATAAGTGTACTGGAATTTTTAGAACCAAATAAATGTTTCATCCTTCAAAGTCATAGGTTCCAAGTATTGCACAAATGGTGGAAGTGTCTTTATAGAAGAGATATCACTGTATTTTAAAGGCCCTTAGCTGGGGCAATTGCGTGTTCATTAAGGACAGCTTCAACGCTTGAAAATGGCCAGAATGATCTGAAGCAACTTTCTGAATAATCTGC